CCCCCCCTCTCTCTCTCCCTGTTCCTGGGGCTTGAACTCAGGCCCTGGGCTCTATCCCTGAGTATCTCTATGCTCAAGGCTAGCATTCTACCACTTGAGCCACAGCACCACTTTTGGCCTTTTCTGTTTATATGGTATAAGGAATTAAACCCAAGGCTTCATGTATGCTAGGCAAGTACTCTACCACTAAACCACATTCCCAGCCCCTGAACAGCCTCTCTTTTAACATATTTACCTTACCACAGTTTTATATACAATAAAGACAAGAGTATTTCATTAAGAGAGTTGATCCTAGCTGGCTGCTGGTGGCTCATGCCTATAATCCTAGCTACTCAGGAGGCTGAGATCTGAGGATTTTGGTTTGAAGCCAGCTCAGGCTGGAAAGTCTACGACACTCTTATCTCCAATTAACCACCAGAAAACTAAAAGTAGTGCTATGGCTCAAGTGGCAAAGTGCTAGCCTTGAGCAAACAAGCTCAGGGATTAACACCCAGGCCCCAAGTTCAAGCCCCACAAACAACCAAAAAGAAAAAAAAAGGGAATCTTCTATACAATTTCCAAGTACCCTTCTTAGACTCAAGCATCTGAGCCACTGACCTGTGTCCAATGCTTCAGGCCTGAGGCATTCTGGCTGATTCTATTCCTGGCCAACCAGGTCACCTTCTGAAATCTCCTCCTTTTAGGCTAAGTATTGAGGGTCTCAGAGTTCCCTAACCCCCAAGTCTGAGGGCTATACAAGCCTCTTACCCAGGGGTTATCCTCCTGTCAGTCTGTTCCTGCTATGGTCTGAATACTTCTCCTCAAAACCCATATGTTGGAAACATAATACCAGCATTCATTTGTTATGCTATTTGAGAGTGGAGCCTTTAGGGGGTAATTTTGATGAGGTGAAGTCATGTAAGCAGGTCTGTAAGAAGAGCCATTAATGGCTTTGTAAGAGACCCAAGTTAGTATGGTATCCCTGTCTCACATGTGAAACACCACACAGCTAGAAGGCCCTTCACACATGCTGGTATTGTGCTCATGGACTATCCAGCCTGCAGAACTACGAACTAAATACCTTCTGTTTATAAATTACTTCATCTTGGGTATTTTGTTATAGCAGCATAAGATGGATTAAGGCCGTCTTCTTAGGGCCTGGGCAGGGACTATATAGCTGGCAAGCTGCAGACGACATTAAGGCAAGGCGACTAAGATGTGCATGTTATATGTGGGTCCCTAGAGTGCAGAGCAGGCATCTGAAGGCATCTCTCTGTTTTCTTACTTTGCTTTGTCTGCCATTGAGGATCCATTCTGGGGTTTTGAACTCAGGGCCTGAACTTCTTTAGCTCAATGCTAGCACTCTACCATTTAAGCCAAAGCTCCACTTTTGGCCTTTTCTGTTTATGTGGTACTGAGGAATCCAACTCAGGGCTTCATGTATGCTAGGCAAGCACTTTATCACTAAGCCACATTCCCAGCCCAAACCTTTGCTTTTTGAAACTTTGCTGGCAATTTAATTCTAAGCACATGTCAAGTTTTGTTATAACTAATACTGCCAGGACCAGTCAATCCAAAAGTTTATTCTTGGTAAGGTATTTTGTAGAAAGAGAGAAGAGTTCTTAATTTCTAGAAAGTTACTATTCTGTTATTATTTTATTTTTTTGCACTCTTCTGTAGTGTACTGTCTTTTCACCTTTTTTTTTTTGATTCAATAATGTTATTTTTCCAAGGAGGCTGAGAATCGCAGTACAAAGCTAGCCTGGGCAGAGAAGTCCATGAGACTCTTATCTCCAGTTAATTATCAAGAAGCCAAAAATTGAAGTATGGTTCAAATGGTAGAGTGCCAGTCTTGAATGAGAAATCCAAGCAAAAGAGCAAGGTCCTGAGTTCAAGCCCTAGCACTGGCACAAAAAGGTCATTTCTTAGTAGATGAATATTACTAAGCACCATTATAAATTCTAAATGTGAATTAATACAGTTTTTACATTTTACAGAGAAAATTATTTCTATTATGATATTACTATCATCATCACCCGCATTTACTCCATGGAAAAATGAGATGAAGAGAAATAATGTCATTTTTGTGAGTTTCCATGTAATGCCACTACTATTCAATCTCTGCTTTTCTGCCTTAGTTCTATTCATTCTTCAAGTCAGGCTCAAATCTTTACTCTTTTAGAGGCCTATCAGAGCAGAGCAAGTCTGTTTTTCTGAGTCTCTTTTAACATAATTACTTCATAGATATTTACTGTTTCTGATTGCTAGAAATCTCCCCATATGATCATCTGAAAGTGGAAGATAACTAGTCTTGATTGACAGCTTAGTGGACAGGTGACTGGCTCTGTGATATGTGTCAAGAATCTTCACCAGTAAACAGGGCAAGTAGTACTGGAAGTAGATTGCCCTCAGGGTCATCCCCTTCAAAGATGAGTCAACTGTAGACTGTTGCTTTGCCCAGGGCCATGTCACCTTTCAGAGAAGCCCACATCCAATACACTGGTGAGGAACTACAGAGTCCTGGCCATCTCAGGATGCTTCTACTGATTTTTTTTTTTTTTTGGGTCCGGTCATGGGGCCTGAACTCTGGGCCTGGGCGCTGTCCCTCAGCTCTTCAGCTCAAGGCTAGCACGCTACCACTTGAGCCACAGAGCCACTTCCAGCTTTTTTCTTTTTTGCTTATGTGGTGCTGAGGAATCGAACCCAGGGCCTCATGCATGCAAGGCAAGCGCTCTACTACTGAGCCACCTTCCCAGCCCGCTTCTACTGATTCTTGAGGCCTTCCTCTGCACACCTCCAACTCTGTGCTTTGTGATATCACAGCTAGACTTTGAAATTAAACATGGTAAAGAGATTTACACCTTAGAAATTGGTGAACACTAATCAAATGCTCTAAAATTTTCAGAGATAATTTAGCAGTACAACTCTATTCTAGACCCCATTCAGAATTACTTTGAAGCCCCTGAGACACACTCTCTCAGGTCATTGAGGAGATTAGCTGAGGCCACTGTTGGCATAGAGCTATAGGCTATATTAGGCATTAGGGCTATAGTTTTTTTTCTCTGCCAGATTCCCTGCCTCTCTTCCAAGGGCTTCCCCGGCATGCTAAACTCTCTTTCAAAGTGTGCTTTTCTGGGGGCATGCCAACAACTTAATACTCTTAAAGTTTACCTAAACATTGCAGATCACTTAGCTTTATTAAAGTTTCCCCAGAAGGAAGTTGAAAAGACATCATATTAACAGGTTCTGTTCTACATCAAGACAGTTATAACTAGTAATCTCTCAATAGAGTTGCTGGTCAACAGCAGCTATTATATAAGCAACTGTTCACCCATAAACCATATGTAGAGGACAATTAATTTCTGTAGAGTATGTTTATTAACTGGCCATGTTCAAACTTCCTGGTTGAGGATTTTTTTTTGTAAACTCATTATATATTCTTGGCCTCTTGGGTTTAAGGAACTTTAGTAAGCACTGGTGGCCAATGTGACAGTTGATGGTGGTGGTGGTGATGGTAGATGTGGTAATGATGGCTGTTGTTAGTGGTTGATGTGATGATAGTGATGGTGGTAGATTTGGTGATGTTGGTTCCTGTTGGTGGATGTGAATGTGGTGGTGGATGTGGTCATGGGAGATGTGAATGAGGTGGTGATCAAGATGGTGGTCGATGTGGTGGTGGTAATGGTAGTAGTATATTTGGTGGTGGTTTCTTGGATGTGAATGTGGTGGTAATAGATTTGGTAGTGGTGGATGTGGTGGTAGTTGTTAGTGGTGGTTGATGTGGTGGTGATGATTATAGTGAATCTGAGAGTGGTAGATATTGTAGTGATGGTTGTCGGTGGTGAACGTTGTGGTGGAAGATATGAATGAGGTGATAATCATAGTGGTGGTGGTGGTGGTGAATCATTGACTATCTTTCGTGGCTGAAAATTACTTTGTAGAAGTGGTACTTTCAAAAAAATCTGAAAGCTAGCACCTATGGCTCATAACTGTAATCCTAGCTGTTTGGGAGGTTAAGAGCAGAAGGGTCAAGGATCCAGGACAGCAAGAGGAGAAAAGTCTACAAAACTCTCAAGGAGGGAAGTTAGGATGCTATGACATGAACCTGTGATCTCAGCAAAGAACAAAAGCCCTAAGTAGGTGGCTTGCAGCTCAGGTGTTCAAGGAGCAAGGGGTGATAATATAGACCCTATCTTAAAAATAACCAGTGAAGGCTAAAGACATGGCTCAGAAGGCTAAAGACATGGCTCAGAAGTATCATACCAGCCTAGCATGTGTGAGGGGGGCCCCTGAGTTCAAAACCAAGTACTGAAAAAAAAAAAGAGAAAAAGTGTATGAATTGGCAGTCTAGACCTGCACACACACACACACACCACACACCCCAAAGTTTGTTTTATTGGGAACCTGCTGCCTGGTTGGAAGACCTACCCTTAAAACCATGCCCTGCCACAACTTCAGACCCTAAATGAGAAGCCATCTCCAGGTTCTCATAGTCCCACCGTCGTACTTTTGGAAAGAATTTCTTTTTCTTTTTGTGCCGGTGCTGGGGCTTGAACGCTGGGCCTGGCGCTGCGCCACCTGAGCCACGGCTCCACGACGGCCTTTTCTCTTCTCTTCCGGTAGTCGATGGGCGGTGAGCGTCTCACAGACGCGGGGCCTTCGGGCCTACACTGTGTCCGCGGGACTCAGCCTCCTGAGCCGCTAGGATCACTTGCCCAAGCAAGAACTCGAGAAAGCCGCTGAAAGCGGGCCGGATCCTGAGAGATCATTCCAAGTGCTGGAAGGAGCAGCAGGCGACTCTGCGGCACGCGCCACGGCGTTTACAACGTGAGAAAACACAGACGCCGGGAAGCCGGCCGGGCCGGGCGGGCCCCGCGGGCCTGGGGAGGAGATTCCCGCCTTCCCGGCCCGGAACCTTGGGCGTCCGGGTCTGGCCGCCGGGGTGCCGGGGGGAAGCATTTAAGCGCAGGACCGGGCGCAGCCGCTTGTAAACAGAGCCGGCGGGAGGGAGGTCGCAGCGGCCGCGCTGTCACCGGGCGGCGGGCGGCTGCCAAGGCGGGGCCGCCGATCGCGCTGCGGGCCCGCCCGGGAAGGACGAGCCCCCGGGTGAGCACGGCGGGCCTCGGGGCGGCGGGGCGGGACGGGAGGAGGCCGGGCGCGGGCGCGGGGCCCCGGGGGCGGCGGTGATGCGGTTTCCTCCCGGCACTGTTGGCGTAGTGGTTGGGGGTTTGTCATTTCGTGCTGGAGACCGCCCCGCCTCGCCGAGCACCGCGCGGGTCCGGGGAGCTTGCACGGCCCCTTGTCCGCTCCTGTCTGTGAAGGACTCGGTGGGGGGAGAAGGGAGCTGACCCAGGCGATGCCCATTGGGCACTGGGGGTCACCGAAGGCAAACCTCAGCCCTCAGCCCGCCCGGGGCTCTGGGAGAAACAGCCCGGTGGTTCTTTCAGTCCACTCTGGCCATTCTGAATGTATAGTAAAGAACACCCCAAGACTGATGAGAAGTCTGGGTTGGTCTATGAAAGGATTACTAAGCTAAAAAAAAAATCAGCATAAAAGAGATCACACCCAACTGTTTAAATTAAAAAAAAATCGACCGAGGTCTACGATTGAATGGCTCATCAGGACTGGTCTGTATGAATCACTGGCAAAGCTTGGCAAATTTTAATTTACCAGGTTAAATGGAGGTTGAGCAAAGCAGTTGTAAACTTCCTTAGTGTTCCCCCTTGTTCCTTCTTGAAAGAAGCTAGAGAAAACACCTAAGGGTTCCCCCCCCCCGTTGTTTGTTTTTAATTTAAATAATTGTTGGACACCAGTGCTGACTTATGTAATCCTAGTCATTCAGGAGGTGAGAACTGAGGATCACAGTTCAAAGCCAGCCCTGGCAGGAAAATCCATGAGACTTACATGGCCAGTTAACCAGCAGGAAGCTGAAAGTCCAGTTCTTCAAACGGAGAGTGCCAGCTTTGAGGGAAAAAGCTAAGGGAGAGGTGCCTTGGCCCTGGGTTCAAGCTCCAGTACTGGCACACACAAATAGTATTTTAGTAATTACACTGATTTGTAATATGTATTCATAAAGTATTTCATTGTAATCTGCCACATATAAATTACAACTGGCGTAGCTAAAATAAAATATTAAGTTCTGTTTTGTTAACTTCAAGAAAATGACTTAACAAAAAAGACACTATAATATAGTCTTTAAAGGGATCAGTAGAGGCCGGTTGCTGATGGGTCATGCCTGTAATTCTAGCTCCTCAGGAGGTTGAGATTTGAGGTTCAGGGTTCAAAACTAGCCCCAGCAGGTAAGTCCATGATACTCTTATCTCCAGTTAATCTCCCAGAAGCAAGGAGTGGAGCTGTAACTCAAGTTGTAGACTTTTAGCTTTGTGAAAAGACCCAAGCCCAGCATTTAAGCCCCCCAACTGATTAAAAATCATCAAACTGACATTGCTTAGGCCCTGAGTTCAAGCCCCAGGACTTAAGTGAGCCACTTTGGTCAGGTAGTCTTTTAGTTAGACAAATATTAGAATATGTTACACATAGAGAAGTTTTTTTTTAAAAAAACACATGTTAAGAAATATTAACACTTGATGAGTTTGTTTTAACAGTGAATATTTTTGCAATGTCATGTTTCAAGCAAGAAGTTTTAAGTTCCTTCTTGGTCATTTCCTAATTGTGCAATCTTGGACAATTCTCTTTGTTTTGCTGTTTCTAATCTGTAGAATGGGAATGATAGCTGTGCTGATCTCTTAGGAGGTTTGGGAGGATTAAATGACTATGATTAGTCTATAGGAATTACTATATACATATTTGTTAATAAATAACAAAATAAAAACATACCAGTGTTGAAAAGTAGAATGATCACCAAAACTTAGGGAGAGAGATGGAATGGAGTTATTATTTAATGCTGTAGAGTTTCAGATTTGTAAGTTGAAGAGTTCTAGAAATTGGTCCTTAAGAATGTAAGTATACTTAACCAAAGAGATGCTTAGGATGGTAAATTTTACATTTTTTTTTACTACAATTAAAATAAAATAACAAAGCGATCTGTTTACAATCCTAACATGCAGCAGCTCCAGCCACAGCTGTCTTTGTCATTATGAAAAATGCAGCAATGGCTGGGAATGTAGCTTAGTGGTAGAGTGCTTGCCTAGTATGCATGAAGCCCTGGATTCGATTCCTCATAAACAGAAAAGGCTGGAAGTGGCACTGTGGCTAAAGTGGTAGAGTTGCTAGCCTTGAGCACAGAGAGACTCAGGGACAGAGCCAGGCCCTGAGTTCAAGCTCCAGGACTGGCAAAAAAAGAAAAAGAAAAAAATGCAGCAGTATCAAGAAAGTTAAATTTTCTGTAGATTCATGCAGTTGGGATTTTTTTTTTTGTCGGTGGTGGGTCTTGAACTCTAGGCCTGGGAGCTGTCCCTGAGCTCTTCAGCTCAAGGCTGGCACTCTACCACTTGAGCCACAGCCCCGCTTCCAGTTTTCTGGTGGTTAATTGGAGCTAAGAGTCTCACAAACTTTCCTGCCTGGTCTGGCTTTGGACAGTGATCCTCAGATCTCAGCCTCCTGAGTAGCTAGGATTACAGGCATGAGCCACTGGTCCCTGCTCGTGTTTTGTTTTGTTTTGTTTTTTGAGGCAAGATCTCACTGGCCTAGGGCCTTGAATTCACAATACTCACCCCTCAGCTACTGTTTGCATGACAGGAATGTATCACCACACCTGACTTTGCAATTGCGATTTGTCATAAAAAAACACAAATAAATGATAAGAAATGATTGGGAAGATTCTGAGCAGGCACAATTCTCAAAATGCTTTACCTCTAGGACTGGAAGAACCTTGATACCTGGAACTGGAACATAAGATATCACTTCCTTGATTATGTTACCTTGTATCTAATATGGAAGACTTGAATTTAAAATGATGAGACTATGTGGGTGAATCTAATCACAGTTACCCATAAACAAAGATCTTTCTCTGGCTGGGAAAAAAGATTTAAAGGATTGGAAAGGTCAGTATATTATTGCTGAGTTAAACATGGAAGATACAGTTGAGAAGGAATTTAGACAGCTGTAAGGAATTCAAGAGGCCTAAAATTATTGAAGCCATCGGCTTATAACCAGGATAGAAATGGGAAGCTCAGACCTAAGGCCACCAGGAGATGGGTTCTGACATTATGCTAACAATACAAGAAAGCTTGAAACAGGATTCTATACCAGAGTTTTTAGACCAGAGTCCAGCCCAGCCTGGCCAACAACTTGATTGCAGCCTTATAAGAGATCTTAGGTGAAAACCCACTAGCCCATCCAGACTTTTGACCTTCATAACTGTGAGAGATAATAAATAGATGTTGTTTGAAACTACTCAGTTTGTGGGAATTTGTTATGCAGCGCTAGAAAACAAATACAGATTTCAGCAGGAAAATGGGGAAAAGAAGTGAATAGACTGTATGTTAAAGTTTGGATCTTGAATATCCCCCAAAGGGCTTCTATGGTAAAAGTTTGTCTCTCAGGATGGAGTTTTTGGGTAAAGCTTTTAAGGGGTGGAACCTGGTGGGAGGCTTTTTTAAATCATTGGGGAAATACCTTCAAAGGGGATGGTGGTACTTTGGATCCTTCCTTGTTCTTTTTTTTCTTTTCTCCCCAGCTCATGATGGAAGTGATTTTGCTTCTCTATGCATTCCAAACATTATATACTGTCTTGCCAGCATCCTAAATATAATGGGACCAATCATTCATAGATTCAGACCTCCGGAACTGTGAGCCAAAAGCAGCCTTTTTTCTTTATAAGTTGATTATCTCAGATATTTTATTACAATGACAGAAAGTAAAGCACACTATCCATAGAAAATCGAATGGCTAATCAGTATATAAAAATGTATTCTTTTAGGCTGGGAAGGTGGCTCAGTGGTAGAGTACTGCTTTGAGCTGAAGAGCTGAGGGACAATGCCCAGGCCCAGAGTTCAGGCCCCATCACTGACAAGAAATGTATTCTTTTTATAAATCAGAGGAATTAAAATTGAAACAATAGCAACGTATTAATTTTCTATCTCTAAAACTAACAGATTTCAGAAAATTCTAACTCTCCATGTCAGCTAGTATGCAGTGGTACTGATACTCTCAACTGCTACAAGGGTGTACAGTTGTCCAGACTTTTCTAGAAGGCTTCAGTAATACTCTTGTTTATCCAGAAATTCTTCTAGGAATCCATCCAAAAGAACTTACGAGAAATATGTTAAAAGTTAGTGTTTAAAGATGCTTACTATGGCTTTATTTATACAAGTACTGGCACTAAATGCTCAGTAATAGGGAACAGTTAAAATATGGTACCATTAAAAGATCCCAGTGTTACTAAAACATTAAAAAGGATATTTGTGTGGAAAGGTATTGCCAGTTTTCATCAATTGGAGGGGAAATGCAATGGAGAACTATACGGACTGAATCCCAATTATGCTTTAAAAATAGGTCCGCGTAGAAAAAGAGCTATAAGGGCCAAAGTAGGGCACTGCTTTTCCTGCCATTAGAATGTGATTAATTATTATTTATTTTGCCATTTATTCTTCTTAATGTTTAACAAAAAGTACATAAGCACTTCAAAAGCTCTCTGTATTATGGGGAATACTGTGAGTCCAAAACATAAAATTCATAAATGGATAGCAGAGATATTTTTTAAAGAAAATAATTGAAATGGAAAACAAGTATTATTGGAAAGATTGAAAATAAAGATAGCTAGTGTTTTTAAGTAGTGTAATCAATGACTCCCTCTCTTTTTAAAAAAGGGGCTTGAACTCAGGGCCTGGGTGCTCTCCATGAGCTCTTTTGCTCAAAGCTAGTGCTCTACTACTTGGAGCCACAGTGACACTTCCAGTTTTCTCTTGGTTAATTGGAGGTAAGAGTCTCAGGGACATTTCTGCCCTGGCTGGCATCAAACCACAATCTTTGAATCTCAGCCACATGAGTAGCTAGGATTACAAGTGTGAGCCACCTATGTCTGGCATATCAGTGAACCTTTCTAGATGGAACATCACTGAGTATCATTGAGAGGTGATAGAAGGCATGTGGTTGGATTTTCATTAAAAGTCCTTGTCTTCTTTCCCCTCCCTGTTCATCCCTGT